GGGGGGGTGTACTCATAGTCGTGCATGCCGTAGTCGTTAGACCATTGACCTCGCATCCCTACAAAGCCGGGACGGAGCACGCCGGGTTCTCACCGGACCAGGCTCTCACATCACCAAGCGCGAAGCGCCGTGAGATATTCGGCGAGTCGCATGAAGGGTGCGCTGCATCCTGCTAAGGGTGTTCGGCATCTTGTGCTTACTTCCTTGCGTACGGATGACAGCTGCGTATGACTTAATTTATTTTCTGGTGCTTTTACTTCCAGAGACAGTTGTAAGCACTGTGTATCACTGCCTCGAGGGTGCTGGACCATTTTAACACAACGTGGTGCGATCATCCCCCTTGCGCGGAGCGGGGGGGGGGAGCAGGTTCGATTTAAGAGAATCGGGGTTCGATTTAAGATAAGAAAGGGGTGTGTCTAGCTATTTTGACCTCTCTTAGACCGGCAATTCCCTTAAAGTGAGTTCTCTTAAACCGTAGCCCCCACTGTACATGAATCTGTAGATTCTGTGATGGCCCTTAGATCTCGGGCTCTGGCAGGTGGTATCCACGGCCGGCCGTTCGTATTCTGTCGATTGATTATTTGCCGAGGCACATGTCATGGTTTCCCTTTGTCACCAACGCTGTGTTTTGGATGGATCGGACGTGTGCACGTTTGCTTGCTTCGAAGCAAAGTATTGTACCTGCCACGGGTGGGTGACGTGTGATAGGATATCACACCTAGTGGACTGATACTTGAGAAGCTTGAGTGCTCCTCCTGTGATGAACGAAAAAGTTGCGGGGCGTTTTATGAACTGTCTCGTCGATGATGTGTCTATCGAATTTGGCATCCTCTTTGCCGTGGCGCACGCGACCTTCTTCGAAGTAAAACATCATGATGACTCTGTTGAAAACTGGTTCACGGGAGATAGACGTGATACCTCACGTTGCCTTCCGTCCTCAAGATGTCACACCCTAGTGATCAACATTTTGCATTGCAGAAATAAACTACTGGGTGTGTTTTGGTCGTGGTCGTCTTGATATATTGCTTTGCCCTAGTAATCATAAGAACATTTTATGTTTCGGTCTAATGTTGAACGGCAGTACAAAATATTTACCACCGGGCTTGTGTGTCGCCGATTGTATGGGTGTTATACATAGCTTGAGTACTAATGGTGAATAGTGGACGGCCGCCTTCCGTGTCGTTTTGTATCATGTGTGGCGCCCTCTGCGGCGCATTCATCAACATCCATCCCTTTGGGCCTTTGGGGGGTAAACAACACCGTGGGACACTCCTGGGCACAAGGAGGTCGAAAAGAAAGAGGAGAAGGGAGAGGGAGAGATCTTTCTGATCATCCGTGGAGCGTAGCTGAAGAGCTGCACATGTTCATGATGATGGTTAATCGACGGATACCTTAGGAATCGGGTCCTCCTTCACACAATATTATCATACGGCGTGGCCGATTTGATTGGGGTGGACACATCCAGGAGCCAAGTTTTGCTGTTGAAACGTTTACTTGTAGACCATGTCGATATCTCTAGACGCAACCAGGTGGTTGTTGTTTCGTGCCACACCCGCCCAATCCGTGCTCACGTCTGTCGGTGTTATTTGTCGTACAGTGCACACGGAAGACACCCGTCCGGGCATCAACCCGTCGTTCGACGGAAAAACAGACCGAAGCATTGATTTATTACTCTATATTTTTGGCTCCTCGTTGTCACGTTCGACGGGCATCTTACGTACTACGTCTGTCTTCGTCTCTCAACCAACCAACAAACCAAGCCATCCAAATGCACGCCTTACCTGCTGCATCCCGCGTCGAATCGCGACTACCGCTGTGTGCCAAGCTGCGGAACGTACGTCGCCTCGCTTTGCGGCGACGACGGGTGTTACGACCCCGGCACGGGCGACTACGACGTGGTTGTGCCCGCCGACGTAACGCCGGGATTGTTCAGCCTTTACGTGCAGGAGCTGAGCGAGAACGGGCCCTGGGACTGCGCGCCCTTCACTGTGGCGGCCGACCCGTCAGGTTTGTGTGGGTCACCGCCTTGTCTGCCGTTTCTGCGATTTGTTGAATGAAATTTGTATCTTCATTTTTTTTTTTTGTGTGTTGGTGTGTTTCCCTTTCTTTGTACCCGTCAGGTTTGTGTGGGTCACCGCCTTGTCTGCTGTTTCTGCGATTTGTTGAATGAAATTTGTATCTTCATTTTTTTTTTGGTGTGTTGGTGTGTTTCCCTTTCTTTGTTGCACGCCGCTTGTGAGGTTGTGGCTTTGTCTTCTGTGCAAACCGCCGTGCGTAAAGATTGTGGCTTGTTACCTGTGTTCTTTAAACGTGACACCCCACACAGGGTCTAATAATAACCACAACCGTGCAACCCCCCCCCACCCACCCACCCCACTTGCAGCCCCTACCCCCGCCCCGACCCCGGGCTCCCGCGAAGTGCCCTCCACCACCACCGCGCCAGCGGCGCCGGCGACAACGCCTTCTCCGGTAGGAACTCCGGCTCCTGTGGCCGTTGTAACAGCGACCGCCGCCCCCGCACCGGCCACCGGAGAGCCGGGGTCCCCTGGGGTCCCGCCGATTCCGGTGCCCGCCAAGACGGTGTGCGACCCCGCGGCGGAGCTGTCGTTCACGTACGACGCGAGGGAGGACGAGGAGATCGAGGGGTCGCTCGTGACGATCGAGCACGCCAGCGGGGACCGGACGGAGCTAGGCTGCGTGACGCTGACGGAGATGTGGCAGTGGCTGCAGTCGGGCCCGGAGGGGGTACCCACGGTGAGGAGGGGGGGGTGGCGGGGGGACCCATAGCCTTACATGCCGCTGGCGTCATACGATCGACCCCGCATCCCTGCAAAGCCGGGACGCAGCACGCCGGGCGGGGGGGGAGATCCTGCCTATTATGGGGGAGATAGGAGGTGTCGATGTGGTGGTGTCTTGTGCATTGGAGAAGAGGATGCACGAAAGGAATGCGGGGACGGGGGGGGGGTTCGGTGGGAGGAAGTAACGTGTGTGAGATGTGAGAGCGCCGCTGTTTATATGGCCGTTTCAAGAAACGTTCCGACTGCTACGGTGTCCTGAGACTGTTGCTCACTGTGCCCGCGAAGCGATAGATCACTCCCGTTGTGCCACCACAGGTGCGCGCGGCGTGTGTGCGCCCCGCCCTGGGGTTACATTGCACCCAAAACACACGTCCACGTTCTCTCTGCCGCCAGTCCTTTCCCGGGCGACACTAAACCCTGACCCTACCGACAACGACGATGGCAGGACCTTCTTTATCCCGTCGACCCGGCCACCGGTGCCGCCATCACGACAGCGTCGACGGTGGAGGAGCTTACTGGCGTGTGGCTCGTGAGAACCTCGCTGGCCGTCTCTAACGGCGTGACGATGAACCTCAAGGGCACCTCAGTGGGGGGCGACTGCGACGAGGTTGGTTCTTGGTTTATGCCCGTTGTTGTTGTTGTTGTTGTTGTTGTTGTTGTTGTTGTTGTTGTTGTTGTCTGCACATTGAAAACCGTTTCGTTCTCTACCCAGTACCTTCTTCTGTCCGTGCTGCTGCTTTTTTGTGTTGTGCGTCTATTACTACAAAATACTCTAGTTGGAGAACATACGTAGTAGGGACCACCGGGATGTTCACGTTGGTGTCCGATTTATTTATTTTTTTGTTCTTGTTTTTGTCTTCACTTAAGGTCTCACACCATTTGTGCTGTTCACTCGAACCTGGTCACAACAGAAGGATTCCTCTCCCTGAGGCCCTCTACCCACCCCTCCTGCGGTGCTTTGCCTTCCGATTTTTTGTTCGAGAAGAGTGCTAGCACTCTCTTCCCTCTGTGTACACACGAACTATGTAGCGCTTTTCACCCAGGCCAGGCCAGAAACCGAAGCGAGAGAATAACTCACTTTTCAAGAAAAGATCGCTTACGCCGGGGTTCGAACCCCGGACCCTGGCCACCGGTGTCCGGATGGCCCTTGTATTTTCAGACAGATTATCTCTTGTAACCAGCGCCAAGGGCGATGGACGAGGGGGTGCGGGTTTTGCAATGAAGCAGCGGAAGAAGTGGTGTCCATAGACATCCATTAGGATGAAAGTGTTATGGCCCGATTTGGTTTTGACCTTGGGACGAATCGAGGAGAGCGCAGCTCGTTGCACACACGTCCCAAACAACCGGAGTGCCTGAACACGAGGCTTGACGAGACGAACCGCAACATCACGGTATGACTATTAAAGCGAACACAAGGGAGGATTCCGCAACGAACACACGGTTTGAAACTACAACGAGGCATGATTCCGATCACACCACCTGAAACCTCAATGAGCAACCGGGATGAAACCGTACCGAACGCACGGCTTCAAACCGCAACGGACGCACTGTAACCGTATCGACAGCTGAAGATCAGGAGCTCGCCGACGCTGATTCACGCCGTCCGGGGGCACGGCGGCAACCTCGACATCTACAAGACTTTGGTGCGTGCGTGTGGCTTGCCGGGGTTTCACACGGCGTTTGTCGTTTATTTGGTTGTCTGGGATTTTGTTCGTTTACCTCCCAGTGAATCCGCTTTCCCTTGCTGGTGTTGTTGTTGTCAGTGGCAGTGATGTGGTGACGCTAGTGCTGAGGGTGCTGTTCCTCGATGTAAGCGTTGCTGCTGACGTGATGCAAGTGTTGCTCGACAGTAACTGTTGATATTGTTGTTGTTGTTGTTGTTGTTGTTGTTAATGATGGTATCTTACAGTAGTTGTCATCGTTGGTGGCGACTTTGATGTCATTATTTGTCGTCGTTTTCAACAAATGTTAATGCTGCTGTTGTCTTTGACCCCCCAGATCCAGAGCTGGGACGAAAATCTGCTGACGGCTCACATCCTGGCCGACGACAGCACCGGGGACGAGCCCCGCTCCTACATCGCCTGCAGCAGCGAGGTGTGAAGGGTGTCATACCAGCGTGACGGGCGAAAAGTGGGTTGCTGGTGTTTGGGCGCTTGTACCACCGTGCCAAACACGGTTTGTCAAAGACAGTGTTCACCGTTGGATGTTTGCAGTTTGCTTGCTCCCTGGGTTCGACAATTGGTGATGCAATGTGTGGTGGATACACACATCAAATTGGCCCTATTTTTTCTGTCTCGCGAGATCGAAGCCAAGGAACGAGCGTGCGTTCGTACGTTTTCAGCAGATTTTGTTTTGCACTCTAGACTTTTTTTCACCCTTTCGTGCGTTGTATATCACTTGATTTTTCCCGGTGGTTTCCTCTTTAATGCAGTTTTCGCTGTTTCACATACCATCTTGGTTCTTTTTTATTTTCGTTCTGAATCATTCCCGCGTGTTCTCGTCGCTCCCAATGTCCACCTGCTGTATCAATTGGTTTTGCCCCTACATCCAAACGGATGAGTATTAACTGCTCCACTTCTGTCATGCATGTGTGTGCGCGTTGCTTGCACGTATGCATATAAGGTGGTGAACGAGAACGACACGTGCGACTCGGGTTACGCGAGGGAGGACAAGGGCGAGTGCCGGATGGACATGGTGGACAGCGAGCTGGGACACATGGGCTACTTCGCCTCTGAATCCTACGGCATCACCTGGAAGGTGGGGTTGGGGTTTCGGTGTAAATTTGATAGAAGATGGACAACAGTACTTTTGAAATGAAACCAAACCATGCTTCTCTTTAAACCTGGAGCGCGAGTTGCTTCTACGGATATTACCCTGGATACCGGTTCATGTGTCGGTTTCACCCTGGCAAGGCCGGTAGATTTTGCACTGTCGCCCAGGAGGACGGTCGATCTCACAGTTATTGTAATTGGAACGTCAGCCGACTTCTGCGGTGGCACCATGAGAGTCACATGACTTGCGAGTACCGCGAACTTCCACATATTAGTCACATAAGTTCCGTCGATGTTGCGGTTGTCGTTCGTGAAGGTCCAGCACATGGAGACCGTGTGTGGGTTCCCGAAAATACCATATTTTGTTATTGTGTTTTCTTTCGTGCTGAATCGAGCGCCGCTAATTCTTCGAATACACAATGTAACCGTCGGTTATGGTGGTTCTGTCGCAATGCACTAATTGATGTGTGCCCCCGTCTTGTGATCGTGCTACAATTGGATGCGAGTGTGTCCTCACGAACTTTTTGCACATCCACCCCTGCTCGTTTTTTCTCCTTCCTTGGATGTTCTTGTTGGATTCAGGTCCGAGGCTTCTGCGAGGACATGAGCAACCCGGAGGTGTTCGACAACGTCAACGTCTACGGGGACATCACGAACTGCGACATCCACCACATGTGGTACGGCATGTACAGCTATGGCCACCAGGGTGGAGTCTGGACCGACTCTCTCATGCACGGTGAGGACGGTTCGTTCGTACAGCAGATAAAGGGGGGGAGGCGTACTACTCATGTTTGGCATTCCTTAGCTGTTAATACCATTGACCGCGTGTCCTTTAGCGGAGAGGGGGGGGATGTTTGTAGCATACGACGTGTGAGAAGACTGGTATGGATGCACTTTTCCGTCTGAGGTTGTTTAGGGCTGCTTTTTGACAGATGCAGCACGAAGCGCTTCTACGTCTCTCTGGCGGCTTGCTCACACACTCGCTTGACCGAGATCAAGTCATCTCATCTACCGGATTATGATTTCCAGAAAATGCTGTGCGGGATCGGATTAGTAGAAGGTCACCTCGAAAGTTGAAACCTCCCGATTTCGGCTCCCGGTTGCCCCTCCCCCACCGCCTTCCTCCCTTGGTAGATCAGCCATCCAGATGTGGTACACATCTGACTTTGGTTTGCCAGAAAATTCTGGACGGGATCGGACTCGCAACAGGGGCACCGCGAAAAGCGACCCCCCCTCCGCTTCCGTTCGCCGTATAAGGAGGGTAATGTTGATGACTGAGCTGGGGAAAGTGGGAGGAAGATATAGGGAGATGACATGTTTGAGGCACGAAATACATAGCCAGGAGAAGGCGGTAGCTGTACTGGGGCATATGGAAGTGGGTTGACAAGGCGGGACGTGATATCGATAGGATAGATAGTCTATCGGGGAAAAAATACATGTTTGAGGCACCCTTCGCGAAGTAGGGAGGGACGATTGGCCATCGGTGATGGGTCCTGTGAGAAGAGTGCTCGGTCCTCTGAAGGTTGCGTGGTCGATGGTCTAGCCGCTAAGGCATGCAAAACATAAGCGTACACCCCCCCTCCCCTTCACCTCCCCTTGCACTCCCCTTACCCATTCTCCCTGTTGTGTCTTTTCGTCGTCAGACAACTACGTGTACGGGTTCGACCCTCACGATGACAGCGACTACCTCACCATCAGAAACAACACTGTGTGGAACAACAAGAAGCACGGCATCATCGCGTCCAAGCGCTGCGACCACGTGGTGATCCAGGACAACACGGTGGACACCAGCGGCGGGTCGGGGATCATGCTCCACAGAAGCTGCGACGACTCGGAGATCACCGGTAAGGCTGGCTATGGGCCGCGACGGGGGGGGGTACGACGCTTGGAATTGTAGCTTATCTCCATGTGCATACACCGTAGTGCTTGAAACTTTAGAATACACTGCTGTAGTGACTCATCACCGTGTGCATTTTCACCGTGCTTGGAGCTTACAAAAATAGATTGCTTCCATTTTATGTATACTGCTCAACACTTTGTCAAAAAACCTCCACAAGCATGCCGTGCTTGAAGCCTAACAAAACAGAGATTATCTCCGTGTGCGTACACCATGCTTGGAACCTAAAACAACTTGTGTACACAAGAGCTACAAGTACAATGACCTGATGGGAGGCACGGGTCGCACGAGGTTTCCTCTGTGTGGACCCCGGGATCACAGGGAGCCTCTATCTTGAGTCATCGAGAGTAGACAGGCAATGTCCTGCCTGAGGTACGCAGACACTGCGAACGGCCGGAACAAAACGGAGTACCAAATCAACGGAGCGCACTCACACGGAAGGCAAACTACTTGGTATTCCGTTGTGTTGTATTGTACTAAGCATGCAATAAATGTGTACGGGTGGGTCTTCCCGTTTTTTCCTTCTCTCTCTCTCTCTCTCTCTCGAGCGAAGAACCCGCCGCCCGTACCCCGTCGGCAGCAAGCACGGGGAGAGGGTGAGCGAGGCCGCGGTAAGCAGCCTCCCGGGTGGGGAGACACGGATGGTCCTCTCTGGTGTGCTGTTGTGCGGCCGCCCCACCACAGCTGGCAGTTTCGACTGCGGTTACATCTCGAACGGGTGGTCTTTCTGTGAGGTTATGTTATGCTATGTTGACTTGTTGACTTGTTGACTTTCCAAAACTAAAAATAATCGAGTTTGTTTCCGTTCTCCGACGGAATCGAACGGTTCCGTATTATTCCAAGTCTTTTCGCGGCTTTTCCCATGCTCGTAGAAGTTCTCGATCGAGATGTATAAAAATGCTGCTGCTTCTGTTTCTGTTTTCCTCGTCCTGCAAATATATGTTTCTTTCATATTTTGTTTCTTTTGTTTTTGCTTCTTCCGTCCCCATGGCTTCTTGTTGTGGGATTGCACGCGTCGCGATCCCTCAAGACCGTCATGAAGGCTCCCTTGTTTTTTAAATTTCTCGGAACAGAACAGCAGGGCTTTCTGTTGCCTTGCTCTCTAAGGTAGACTGAGCACAGAGGGGGAGGACATGTTCCCTCTAAAAGGGGCCACCAAGGTCCTGTCCCCTGTTTTATCCTTCAATCGGGAGTTAATTCTCCCGCACTTTTTCCTCCTCACGGAGCTGCTCCGCAAAACCGTTGATACTTGCTAGAATTCAAATCCCGTTACACAACCCCACCCTGGAGGTTCTCATACGCAGATACTTGAGGAATCTCGGAACTTGACAATTTATTGTCGAATCCCAAAATGAAAGGATCGAGGATGTCGAACTTCAAGTGCCAAAGTTCACCCTCCCACACCTCTCACGCATTGAGCCGCAACACCATCGATCGTTTGACCCAGCTAAGGAGCTAAGGAAAGGGTAGAGAAGGGAGAAAACGGGGGCTGCGAAGCATGCTTAGCTTGCAAGGCCGCACCGGCGACCACGGTGTTTTGCAGGCCGTTGGCGATGTTGAGGCTGGTGCTCTCTGTCTTGATGACCGCAGTCTCTTGATTTTCCCTTTTCTCCCGCGCGGTCCCCGTCGTCCTCCAAGTTCAAAAATCCAATTTGGAAGACGGCGGGGACCCTCCTCTAAAGTAGAGGGTATGAAGACCGCGATCGCCAAGACAGAGGGCACCAGCCTCAAGGTCGCCACCGACCTGAGCGACAGCGCGGCCGGCATGTGGGCCTGCAAGCTAAGCATTGCTCCGCTGACCCCGGCCGCCGCCAGCCGCCGCGGAGGAAGGCGGAACTCGTCACGGGCGCGAGCGCACGTCTACATGCTCAGCACAGAGCTCTCGGACAGACGCGTGCCCTCCTCATGTCGGATCAACGGCGCGGGCGCCGTCAACACGAAGTGGATGCGCAGCGCGGTCTAGAAAGGCCGAAGCTACAGCTAGATCATGATGCGATCGATTGTGCGAGACACCGCTGTTGGCACGCCAGGCGAGCCAGGCGGTGGGTGAGGCACCGACTGCAGGGAACTGGCAGAGCTGTCGGACTCTCATGTCCTTGCTACCGTCCATACGACGAGACGTTCCGCCGTGAAAGTACTTTCTAAAAGAAAAGAGCAACGAAGACCGCGCGTTCACGACAGCCGGCCAGAGCAAAGAAACAGAGTTGCTCCACATGCTGGCTAGTTGAAAGAACAGCAACAAGAGCCTAGGGAAAGCTGACGGCCGACACGCCAAATGCTGTGAGGTTACACGCGTCGCGATTCCTGAAGACCCTGATGAAGACTCACTTGTTTTTTAATCTCTTGGGAACAGAACAACAGAACTTGCTGTTGGCCTTGCTCTCATAGGTAGACTGAGCACAGCGACGGAGGACATGTTCCCTCAAAAGGGACCACAAAGGTCATGTCCCCTATTTTTTCCTTCAATCGGGAGGTATGCATACATCTCCCGCACTTTCCTCAGGGGATTGCTATTACTCCGCACCAACAATTGATACTTGCTAATACGGTTCAAATCCCGTATCAGTCTGTCGCCCTGGGGAACGTGTGTGTCCATGTTGTTGCTTCTTTTTCGAGGTTGTTCATTCTGCAAATATTCATTTAATTTTTATTTTTTTCCCGTTTTCGCTTCATCGTCCCCCCCCCCCCCCCCCCCCCCCCCCCCCCCCCCCC